AAAACTCCATTCAGGATCTCCACTCTATGCCTCCTACTACTTCTGCCTTTCTATTTCTATTTCATTCTCAGGTCTTCCGCTGCCAAAGCTCCCCAAGCACTCCTCTACCTTGGTCTGCGTTATTCCTACGTCTGTTTAGGAAAATAGCAGTGCCTGCCAGCACAAGCAAACACAAGACACATAGAGACACATATACACAGGTCACATCTCTCTTTGCATACACAGGTGTGTATATAGACAAACAAACTCACTGTCAAGAGAGGAAAACATGAAGGGTTTACATTTCCATTGAAGATACTGCAGTAAAAAAAAAAAAAAAAAAAAAAAAAAAAAAAAAAAAAAAAAAAAAAAAAAAAAAAAAAAAAAAAAAGAAAAAAAAAAAAGAAGAAAAAAAGAGGAGATATTATTTTAGCCCAAATACGTGTCAGCCCCTCTTTTAAAGTGCCCTGTTTGCACAACCATTTGTTTAATAGAGGAAGTGTGTGGGAATGAGGATTACATGGCTTGTAGCAAGCTTGGAGAAGAACAAAATTGGATTCCTGTGCTGGGTCTCAATTTCCAGGGTCTGACAGATATGAGGTCAGTGTAGGAATATTCTTTTTATTAGAGAATCTTAAAGGAAGTCTCTGCTATTTGTCATATTTTTTTTTCCTACATAGATCTGTTTAGTTGTGTCACTCCTTCAAAATGTAGCTTGTCTGCTCCAAAAAATTTATCCTCAAGTTTGTCCCCCATTCACTTCGACCAAATTCTGCCATAATCACTCTGCAAATCTATATATGAGGTCAAAATTGATCTGTGTTTTTTTGACAGGCTTGATAAATGCAGCCATTTCCACCAAATGTCCTTAGAAATTATATTCATCTTAATGTGTTCCAGACTGAACTGGAATTATTTTTTAATATTGCATTCTACTGTGCTCTAGTCTGTTCTAACTTCATAGAATATGAATAATTAAGCATCTTGGGAAAAGAACCAACCATCTGAATCCAAACCCTTCTCCTTGTTTATCTTTGTCACACTCCCTGAAATGTGCCCCTTGCACAACCTTCTCATGAGTCCCACTTGCTAAGAACTGTTACTTTCTTTTCCTTCTCCAAAATACTGTACACTGGCACAGGACAGCCTCATAGGATAGTATCAAAACTACTCACACCTATCCTGGGTTGAAATTCAGTGATAACCATGTTGAATCTTTAAATAGTTGTGTTTGTTTGGTTGGTTGGTTTTTTGTTTGGTTGGTTTTTGGGTTTTGTTTTTGTTTTATTTTTTTAGAATGGTAGCCAAATGTCAGCATAAAAGCAGTCCTCATTTTTCTGTTAGTAGTAAAGCACTTTAGTGTCTGGTGCTGTAGTTTGACATCAATATCCTCACAATTTTTAGGAATCATTATTTATACTGTAAGATCCAGTCTCTTTTGTTTGAACCCACTCTTGTTTGTTTTCCCTTCAGCCTCCACACCTTTTGGCAGTTCCTCATGAATATCTTTTACATCCTTCCTAGTCCTGACTTTTTCTTTTCATGGACACACATTCAATTTAGATATGATAGTGGGAGATAGGCTGCACAAATAAGAGGGAATCGTAATGATTAGCTCATTCCACAAGCAATTTAACTTTGTGGCAAAGACTTGGTCAGTCACACAATTCATTTCTTCTGGAGGACAGCCAGTAGACTGAGCACACACTGCGTAGAGTCTCTGGGAGTTCTGCACTGTAGAGGTAGTATATATTCTTCCAGAATGCACTTATCTGACTTGAGGTCTCTTCTTATTTGATCTTGTCTCCACCTTCTCATTCCCTTCAGTTTATTCCATTAAGATTGCCTGTTTGCTAGCTTTTTTCAAAATTTTATTAATCTGTTATTTTTAACACTGAAATATCCTATTCACAGGACAAATTCAGTAATTCGGTAATTTGTCACTTTCTTCTTCTTCACAGTCCTTACTGTCTCCCTATTTCTTAACCTGGGTTTCCTGAAGCACCACCTTTAGCCTTCTTCAATGAAACTCTGCTGAATTCCCTTTTTTTTTCTTACCTAGAACAGTGAGACATGTTCCTTTTTCAAAATACATTATTACTGCTGACCTTCATATGAAATTTGCCTGAGAAGCTTGTTCAATCTTCCTCCTCTTTATTGACACAAAAATTCTATTTCCTAATCTACCATATCCAGAATAGCCACTCCTGAGATACCCCCAACCCCTGAAAAGACCTGTACTAGTCCCTGGAGAGGTAGTATGCTACTTCACTTAAGTAACGCCTACTGTGTTGAAATACCAGGACCACAGGGAAGATCTGGTTTATTCTTCCTTGGCAGTCCTTCACTCTCTCATTATTTTCCTTTCTTTCAAGCTTAAAAAAATAAATTTTCATTTAAATTGTTTTGATGTTAAGCATCCTCTTCACCATGAACCTACAAATATTGCTTTTAGGCATAGGGTTTAGCAAAACACTGACTGCTAAACGTCCCAGACAAGGACTTTCCTTTTTTTTTTTAGGCAACTTGTCATAAACCCTATCTTTTTGCATTCTGGCAGATTGAAGTGTAAACACACAACCTGACATTTGCCCTCACTCCGTACTTAATTCTGAAGAATTTGGAATAACCTCATAGTAAATCCTTTACCCACGGACTCTCCTTCCTGTAATTCATATAACAATCAGGTGTTTAACTCACAAACTCTGATTTCTCCTCTACTATAATTAATGTTCTACCTGCCTCAAGTGAGGAAGGACACAAAACCAGGCGTATTTTTCAAGTACTTTTAAAGTTTTATCATAGCCTCCAGAAAGAATTTCTACTGTACACATTTCCTATGAGATCTTGCTTCAGATAAGAAAATGCTGGCTCCCACAGGAAGCTCAGTAACTCTGGCATGTGCTAACAAAACTGTTTGTCAAGGAAGGTGCAAGAGAAGCTGAGATGCATTCAGCTTTGTTGTCAGCCTCTGCTTATTACTCAGAGTAGTCACTGAAGTCTGTTGTCTGAATTTGAGAGAGAAACAGTAAGAAAATAATAGTGCATATCTGTTCTAACAGTTTAGGTTTTGAAGGGTCAAGGACAAAGAAGCCTCCATTAACTCTGTGGTTCCCTCTCTTTTTACCCTTCCATCTTCTGTGTTCTAGGAAATTTTGGGCACAGGAATTCACCAACTGCGGGGAGTATGGAGCTGTTTATTTTCTGTTCGCAGAACCCTGGAATACTGACTTGTGCCAACTGATAATTTCCCCTATTCCATGCCCCACTCGGCACAGAAGTTGCTCACTAACCTTTTTTTAATTCCTTCACTCTAGACTATATGCTTCATCTTTTTTTTCAAATGCTGTTTCTTAAGCATATTATTTTGATTTTCAGACAGCAGTTCCTTGTCATCAACCCTTCTTCTCCTCCTGGAAATGCATAATTAGAGGTCTAATTTGTCCCTTGGTTTATCTTTCTATTCCTGAATAGAGTGTTACTGCCTTGATCTGCAAGTTAGCTTGTGATTTTTGTTTCAAGAATCAAAACATCTTATTTCTTCTTCTAGAGGCTACCCTAGAACATGTCTGTGTTTCTCTTTGGGGTTTTTTCCCTTCTTCAGTATTGTTGCCTATTTTCTTGAATCTTTCAAAAGCAAAATTACCTAGTATTTCACAATGTTCAGGGCAAACATGGTAAAAATATTTATGAGAACAACAATTGCAACTGGAAGACTGATCATCAACTGATTGTTTCTCTCACTGATACATAATGGAACTTAAACATGACTTCACTAAAATAGAAAATATAGATATAAAAAGAAATAATTTAAAGAAAAATTCTTTCTGGGCTTCCTTCATTTTATTTCAAACACACTTGGTAAATAACATTCTATTAATTGTAACAGTCAGTTTGGTTTCTCCTCCAAACTGCAGTGATTCTGTGTAAGCACAGATAAAGATTATTGGTAAAATTTGTAAAAGGTCACTGATAGGTGTCCAAATGGCTGAGATTATTTCTCTGTGCTCAGTTTGTGTAATGGAGAAATCAATTCAAATTACCTTCCACTGTCTTAACAGTGAAGCAAATACTAAGACTTTGTGTGAATTATTGAAGGACAATTAAATTATTTGGTTGAGGACAACAAAAAGTGCTCCATTTCATAGAATCATAAAATCACAGAATTGTTTGGGTTGAAAGGGACCTTAAAGACTATCTAGTTCCAAACCCCTTGCCCTGGGCAGGGACACCTTCCACTTGGCCAGGTTGTTCACATCTTGTGAATGTGAGATCCATAAAGACATTTCTGAAAAAAATTATTTTCAGGAAACAGTTCTCCATTTTGTTTGAAACAGCCTTGAGACTACATAAATAATTTCTGTAATCAGAACACCCAATAAATCTCATTGTACAATAAGGTATTTTCTCTTGCTTTGAAGTGTTTAGAGGAGATTAAAGGAGTGACAAGCACAGAGCAGGAAAAATAACTCCATTTTATAGGATTATACCCATCTGTACTCTAGCACTTAGATATACTTTTTTCCCTTTAATGACATTAAAAAAGGTATGCCACCTTCTTCTCAAACCTGTCATCCTTTTGAAACAAACACATTAACTGTCAGGCGACCTTTAATCTATTCACAAAATTTTTCTTCACTAACACAATGAGTGTGGTGCCATCACCGAGCTAATCTCAAGTAAGAACACAGTGAGAGAGAAAGAAGCTACCATGCCTCTCCTGAGAGGGTGTCACTTCTCATCTGGCTGGAGTTCTGTTTCCTTGTCTACCACCTTTGAATTATGCATCGCTTTTGGCTAGAAATCAGCCACTGGAGTGTGCAAGCCTCTAAAGCCTGCAGACTTGCTCCAGTTGTTGGTACACAGTCTAAGTACTGTTCCCATAACAGATAAATTATTCCTGTAAGGATTGTCAGTGAATGATCTTTAATGTGAGCTCCTTATGACACTACTCATCACTGAAAGTGGTGTGGTAGGACATTATTCCTACAAAAGACCAAATTAAAAGACAACAACTCGTGTTTTTTCAATGGAAAAAAAGCTAAAACTTTATTCCTAAATTAAGGAGCTGAGTTCTCAGTCTCTGAGCACCTAAAAAGGTGCTAGTTTTAAACATATGAGACAATACACTATGATAATATACAATCTGGAAGCACAGGATAAATCCAGTAGTGAGTACAAAAAAGTGGAGAACAGGAGTGGGACAAAGAACCATCAAAAAATATTTAGAAATTCTTAGAAGCACAGATCCTTTGCTATGGAAAGGTAGAGGTATAACTTGTGCTCCTGCTGATGTGATGAAGAGGGGTCTTCATTCATTCTTTATACAACTTGCCACCTACCTAATTGAAAATAAAACAGAATAAAAAATATTTTTTAGAAATTATAATAACAACCACCACCACCACCAAGCAAAAGAAACAAATACAGGAGTTGATTGGATGACCATGCCCAGAGAGTTACCATCAATGATATAACGTCCAAGTGGTAACCGGCAATGAATGGTTTCCCTCAAGGGCCTGTACTGAGACCAACACCATTTAATACCTTCATCACTGATACCGGGATCGAGTGCACCCTCAGCAAGATATGACACCAAGCTTAGTGGAAGCTGATATGCTTGAGGGAAGAGTTGTCATCCAGAGGGACCTGGACAGACTGAAAGAGTGGGCCCATGTGAACCCTGCAGCCACAAGGATCTGTACAGACTGGAGGATGAATGGATTGAGAGCAGCCCCGTGGTGAAGGAATTTGGGGTAATGGTGCATAAAAAATTGTATGTCAGCCAGCTGTATGTACTTGCAGCCCGAACAGCCAACTATATCCTGGGCTACATCAAAAGCCCAGTCTGGCCAGTAGGTTGAGGGAAGTGATTCTGCTCCTCTGCTCTGCTCTCACAGACTGAGAGAACAAGCCCTCTTCAGAAGGGAGAAGAGAAACTTCTGGGGAGACTTTCTTGAGGCCTTTCAATATACAAGAAGACTTTTAGGAAAAATAGAGATGTTTTACCAAGGCCTCCAGTGACAGGACAAGAGGCACTGTTTTTAAACTGATACAGGGTAGCTTCAGGAAGAAATTTGTTATGGTAAGGGTGGTGAGACAGTGGAACAGGTTGCCCAGAGAAGCTCTGGATGCCCCATCCCTGGAAGTGTTCAAAGCTAGGTTGGATAGGACTTTGAAAAATCTGGTCCAGTGAAAGATGTTGCTGCCCATGTCAGGGTTGGAATTAGATGATCTTTAAAGGCTCTTTCTGGACTAAACCATCCTGTGATTTTGTGATTATGATCCAGTAAAATACAAATGCACTCCCTCTGGTATCCTTGGAAAAGGTCCAAAAATGTAATTGAGATTGTGTTCATACTTGCCTCCAACTCTGCCAGCTCACTTTTCAAATACATCTCCCTGTTCTGCTTCTAAAGGGAAAAGTGCTGAGGCTTCCACTGCTCTCACTGGGTATATCTTTCAACCATATGAGAAACTTACTAATAAGAAGTGTTTCCTGGCAGTTAGTTCAACTTCTCCCATTTGTTCACGTTTACCCCACTACTCTTTGTAAATCTTTGCAAACATTTGTTCAGATTTATCCCCTGTATCGCTTCAAAAAACCTGCTTGTTATTTTCACTGCAGGCATAAGTCTCTTTTTAATGGCTATAGGAAAGTACCATATATCTGACATTTTCCTCCTTTACTTTCTACGGAATTTGTCCTTAAGTCTCATCTTTTTCATGTGTTTAAAGACCATTTTGAGAAGGAATTTCTCCACTAGATAGCATTGATTTTATTTGAGTTCTGGAAAAACAGGAATAGAAAACTCATCTCTTATGATTTTTCGAACTAGACTGCACAAAGACTGGCAAAGCACGTGCAGAAAAATCATAGGTCTGAGAATAGATCTAGCCTGCATCCATTGATCCTTTACTAGTGAGTAAGCTCAGCTTTCAGGTGGCACACTAGCTTACCTTGGCTCTCCACACCAGACTGCTCACCAAAACTGCATAGATCAAGGCTTTGCCACAGAGAATGAGGTAAGTGAGCTTCACGGAATTTCCATACCGCAAGTACGAGTCTGCAAAGCAAACATCATTTATGTATTGAATTGTCATCATCACGAGATACTAGATCTAATGTAGTTTTAATCAAATATGAACCCTTGAAATCTTTAGCTAAGTAACATAAAGGAACTAGAGCCAAATGAATGTTTCTGTTGACACCAGATAGCAGGAGATGGGAAAGAACACAGTGATCTGAAGAACCAAAAGAGAAAGCAAATCTGGGAAAGACAGAGATCGGGTTTATGCTAAGAAAATACTGTGTTGCCACACCTACTGAAAAACTAGGCTCTTCATCTGAATTCCCTCTTAGGAACACAAAATAAGCTGAATCACAAGATAAGATTTTTTTTTCTCTCATTACTGTCAGTGGTCTTATGAGTGCTGCTGACATATCAGGCTAATTTTATACAGCCCAGAATAACATGGCTTCTAGAAGTTTATTCTTGTAGATTTTTCACTCTTAAGGAGTTGCAGTAGTATTGAGATACCACCTCAGTGTTGGTTCAGCCTTAAGATTTCTGAAACATAAAGAAGTTGGTGAAAAACAGGAGTGAGTAAATATGTATACATAAAGGAAAGAAATGTAATTTGTAATCTGGATATCCTCCATACGTAACTTCAGTTTGGAGGGGGATGTGGCTTGCCATCAGAAGTATGTCAAATTTTATAGGAAATATTCAAAATATATAGGAAATATTCAAAATTTTGGATTCTGAATCTTCATGTCATAATCACTTAGATAAGTATGAATCATTTCTTTCATGGCTGAGCAAGAATATTCCCAACTGAAGGCATTGTTAAACACAGGAGGAGATGATAAAGAGCAAATTACACTCTACAGGAAGGTTCCACTATTTCTCCTATGTTTTCAAAAGGGAATCATAGGGAAGAGCTAAAACCCAACACCACTGCTACATACAGTATGCACAAACAACCCTCCCAAAGTCTTTTCTTCCTTATTTCTTTTTTTTTCAATCTAACATACAAATCACTTGGATGAGAAAGTAGAAGTTATTACTGTAGTAGAAATCTTACACACCTTGTACTTAGTGTCAGTAAAACTGGAATTAAAATACATACAGATATTTGCCTGTGAGAAGACACACGTACCTTCTCTAACTGCACAACCTGAAAGACAAAAATAAACTGAAAGTCATGTTTCTCTTCAAATCAAACAGAACATAAATTTTAGAAGTTTCAGTTTACAAAATACTGCCTAATTCATTATAATTCATTAATTCAGTAATTCATTTTAGTGTCATATATATTTTATTATACTATAAATTTTACTATACTACAGAGATTTCTCAGTGAAAAGCTGGAGAAACTATAGATGTATAATGCTAATGTAGGCAGAGAGGCCCAGGAATAAGGAGAGACATATGGTAATACCTACATATTTAGATATATACTTTGCAATAACAACATCCTGGATAGAAGTTTTTCACAGACATGTTTTATATCGTAGCACACACTCTTCTGATTTGTGATTTCTAGTTTGTACAGCATGGTGATACATCTTTTTTACTCACCAGCATCACCAGAGATAACTTTGTGTATGGAATTCTTTTCTCCATTCTGAAAAAAACTGGCAACACACTCAAAATTATTCAAAGGGTTAAACCATTCCCAGGCTGGGATCCTCAGTCGGCTGGTCAGTGAGTAGGTACTCCCATTCTGTGTGGAGAATTCATCTGTCCCCACTCCTTTTGTCCTTTTGACATCATTTACGAACCAGACCAGAGTCAGGTGGTCAGGGTAGAAACCAGATGCCAGGCATACCAGTGTGGCCTTGTTCTTCTGTTGGATCTCCTGCTTTGATGGGGAAAAGATGGCCACAGATGGAGGTATGATTTCCTTATCCTTCTCTGAAACAGAAAGCAATATGGCTCAGAGCCTCCATTACTCTATTCAGTCAGAAACTCCTGAAAATTGTACTGTATTTGTGTTATGTTACTTCTGATATACCTGGCCTTTTAACAACTGTCTAATAGAGAATTAATATCTATTAGATACTGGACACTGCGAAACTGAAAACATTTGTTTTCCTTTATTACACAGAAACATAAAAGGTCTGGCTACAGAAATGCATGAGTATTTGAATTTCTAGTATTGCCTCTGTCAGAGGAACAGGAGAGTTGGAAAGAAGCTTAGCAAACAGATGGGCAGAAAAGTACCCAGTTATGCTGTAAGGCCTGTATTTGTAATATTGTATTAATAGATAAGGAAGTCTGTTCTAAGGCACAAGCATCTTCAAGGGACTGAGCTACATTCCTGAAGATGTAGCTAAGACATGATGGTCATTGTAGTGTTCAAAATGATACTGTCATGTGGTACCCTACTTGGACACCCTATCTAAGAGGTGACTTGAAAGGGAAGAGCTAATCATTCTCCCTGTCTGAAGTGAAGAACACCTGAGGCAGGTAACATGAATCAGTCTGGGGCAAATTTTGCTTTGGGTCTTAACTTGCCATCCTATTTTAAGACTAATAAATATCTCTTTATGCAATTTCTTGTTTAGGTTATCCTAGGTATGAGAAGCCCTCATCCTAGACTACACAACTTCACAAAATGATGCAAGATTCTATACACTACAAACCAAAAGTTGTCCCCTGTCCTATAGTGTTTAATACCTACATGTAAAACTAATGAGAACAGATTCCAGTCAAAAGAATGTACAAAGCAGCAATGAGAAGTTGCTCAAAAGCTAGCCACTGTCCTCAAAAGCCATTTTTTCCCGAATATACCGAGTACAGAGCTTTTTTTACTCATCTAGTACGATAAACCCAACACGTCTGCAGAATGCTCGTGGAAAGAGAAAGGCAGAGAGAGCTATGGAGCCAAAGAGAAAACTATTACTGTTATTTCAGTGTGAAGGCACCATAAATTGTAGATGTCCTTCCTGATCACTCTCTCCTTTGTACAGTGTTAGCAGAATTAGCAGAAATTTATATCTTGCATAGATCTTGACTCCTAAGCACCAGTGTTTGCTTCCAAATGTTAACCTTAATCGTACCTAGATATTAACATAGATAATTCCCTAGAAGATTTAGCACTGCTCTGCTTTCCTTTTAGTGGATATGAAGTTGATCACTTTTACTGCTCCCATTTAGCACTTGGTTTTATGATTTTCTTTTTCCTATCCTAAAAATATCTCTGACAAGTTTATTGACTCATAGCCTAAATGGCTAATGAGTGAAGAGATGGAAACAAAAGGAGGACACAAAAGAAAAATGAGAGAGATTGAACAGACCAAAAAAAAGACAAAGAGGAAAGTAGGTGAAAAAGGCAGGCTGCAAGAATGGTAAAACTACTGGAAAGACAAAGAAAGCCAGAAAATTAGTATGTTTTAAATGGAATAATGAGACTGGTAAAAGCAAGAACAGTGGCAACCAGAAAAAAGTGTTATCAACAGTCCATTGTGTTCTCATCTTCCACACTGTTCATGGTAGACACTGGCACAAAGCTTAATCCCTTCCATGCATAAACTCATGCATTCTCAGTCACCCAGTCTTCATCCGGCTAAGAGAAAAAGTACTGCAGTTCCTCCATTCCCATCATGACAAGGTCAGTTTTGTAATTTCTTGTTCTCTTTCACTCATGCTCTCATTTTAAAATCATCTGTCTATATGCTGCAGATCATCAACGCAAGGGAAACTTGCGTTGAGCACTTGGGTTAATCACAGCTACTTACCTATAACTCTGAGCACAGTGCCGGCTCCAAAGGTAAGTAGCCCAGCTACACAGCTGCACACAATCAGGCTATAACTCTCAGTGCCGTTATGCTTTTCCTGCCAGACACTTAGTTCCTTAAAACGGTACTGTTTAAAGGAACAGGCACCAGTGTGTATTTCTACAGCTTGCTATCAGATGTGGCACTAGCGGATGGGAAAGGTTACTTTGCCTTGTGATTCCAAAGTGCTTTGATACAGGTGATGATAAATTCATTCCTGGGAGGGGAGAAGGCAGAGACAGCAAACTAGGAAAAGGAGAAGCAATAGAGGAGAAAAGTGCCCTGAGAGAATCAGAAGTTGTGAAAAGGACTGTTAGCAGATGCCAGTGTCCCAAAGCAATGTTAGGCAGCCTGCCAATCATCTATGGAGAGGCAAGCAAAGTGCCAGCAATATTATTCTTTCCCTGCCTGATTCAGCACACAGTAGAATCCAGACTCTACCTCTGAAACATTGCTTTGGATTGTTACATAGATGAAATGCAAAAACTTTCAGACTGAAGAAGCATTTTTCATTCTCAACCTCTCTAATGTTTTCTTGGAGAATGGCAGGAAACAGAATTATTTATTCCTTTCTCCCTTCATGATGTTCCCAGAAATGAAAGACAAAGGCTACAGACAGAAAGATCTCAAAATTTATGCCTGCAAACCCTACACTTCCATATAGCGTATCTCATTTTAATAAGCAACCAGTAAAGCATTAATCCTGTTCTCATGGCTCTATGAAAATTATTACAGATCATTATTCTGCTTTTAATTAAGAATGCTCTTGTACCCTAAACCAGTGTTGCATATATCACAGAGATCTGAGTTCTAACTTACCTATGACTGTGAGTTTTGTCCCACTTCCAAAGTACAGTCTGTCATTATTCACACTGTTTTGCAGCTGCAGAAAAACCTCTCCTCTACTCTCAGTCCTCCGAGACAAACCTGAGGACTAACCCTCCCCTCATGCGGTACCAGCAAAAGAAGAAACACAGAGTACAGCAATCTATGGTCCCTAAAAACAGAGGTCTGTAAGGGAACACCACCACATCTAGGGGTCTAACCAGCTGAGATCCATATCAGAAATACTGCGTTCAGAGTCCTTTTGCTTTGGGCTTTGGTGCATTAGTTGTTGCAGCTTTCACCATTTCTTTAGAGGATATTTACCCCTTTATCTAGGTATAATATTAGAAAATAATTTCCACATGCAGGAAGAATAATATTTTTATTCTCAACTAAACAGCCTCAGTTCCCTAATTTCCTCATCTTTTTCAACATTGTGAATACTCTTCATTTGTAAAATAAATGCCTTTTTTCTTCACTTGCAAAATACTTTTAACATATAGCACAGGATCCTAGTCCACTCTCCCAGTTGCTGCAGTTCCTAAACAGCCTCCCTTTCTCCTTCCCTGGAAAGAAGTCTCTGCTTTTATTCTTTCTGTTCTCTTAGTGATGACTATTGAAGTTAACTGCATACTTGTCTGTGGCTGATGAGGGATCCGTGTATTCATTTTTATCAGTTCAGGCACCTCAGATACACATTGGATTTTGAAAAATCAACTGTTCACTGAGTTTTTTCCTCTGGAAATTGAATTTTATCACTTGTAATCAATTTATTCTGTAGTGGCACAATGTGGTACAAAAGTCTCCAGGAGAAGTACACAATGAGAAGAGATCACCATCATCTATCAGTCTTAGAAGCAACCTTGTTTTCCCCTGGATTGGAGATTCCAAATTCATAAATGTGGACTTGAAAGAAACATTTCCTTAGAGCTCCTTCTATATGAAATTAAACATACACTCTGTTTCTGTGGCTTTCAGTGGCTGTTGAGCATCTATGCTGAAATAGAAAGACTGCTGTCCTTAATGATCTTTTATCACCACCCTGATGAGCCTGTTTAGTGGAAAGAAATTTGCTGTGCTATGGAGAGTTACTTTCTATGCTAACAAGGAATTAACAGCTGCAGAGAGCTCATAGTATTACTTATTATAAAGTCAAATATTTGTGCCTTCTGTTTTATCAACCAAAAATGCTAGAACATTTGTTTTTCACAGTTATCTGAGACAACACATGCTTTCATTTACCCTGAAAAGATCCGAAGTAATTCAAGATTGTATAGTCTTCATTTTGTTTTGTAGACCTGTTCAAAGTGTAACTGTAAGTCAGTTCTTTCCAGACAGACAGATAGCTTTTCATTGTCTTTTCCTTAATCATCTGTAGCCCCAGGAGAACTAGCATTACAGAGAATAGATATACTTTTGGGGAAATATGGATTTTTGCATATGTTGATTTATTACGGCAATTTTTCTTACAATATGCCCACATTTTTTAACCCATTCCCTATCCTAATTCTTTATATGGACAGCTTTTTTTCACTGGTACGCATTCATTTAGTTCTCCAAAATGAAACGCGTCCTTACCGAGAGTACTAAACTTAGTCTATTCTCCAAAGTAGACTGGTTTACTAGCACATCAGGAGCACATCAGTTTAATAATGGAAGGGAGAACAATGATAAAGTGAAGTTCTCTAAAGAGAAGTGAATTGAAAGAGAAAATAAAAATTCCTTACCTATTACTGTAAGTTTTGTGCCATCGCCAAAAATCATATTACCGGTGTTCACAGTGACAAAGTGTTGTATCATAAGCTAAGAAAAGGGACGCGCTGCAGTTGACTTACTATAAGCAGAAGCTTAAGAGATCATTAGTGTATATGGAATCCCAAAGGTCACTCAATCTCTGTCTGAAGGGGTTTGACAGAAAATTAAAAAATTGAAAGGGAAAACAAAAATTTCTTACCTATTACTGTAAGTTTTGTGCCATCGCCGAAAAGCAAGTTATAAGCATTCACGGTGACAAAGTGTTGTATCATAAGCTAAGAAAAGGGATGCACTGCAGTTGACTCACTATAAGCAGAAGCTTAAGCAATCATTACTGTATTTGAAAACTCAAAGGTCACTCAATCTCTATCTGAAGGGGTTTGACAGAAAACCAGCTTGAAATCTACTGTATAATCTGTAGCATTCATAAAAGCATTTGCCAGAGCTTTTGGTAGTTATTGTCTACATTTCACCTCAAGTTGTTTTTGCAACTTTTCTCCAGTCTCCCTGTTATGCCATGGATATTACCTGCTATTCTCATTTTGCAGATCTAAAAAACATGCAGATGTACCCAAAGGCTGTCGTTCACTAGAAACAGAATTCCTCTAATTTGAGAGCTTCCTCACTCTCCATCTTGTCTCTGAGCATTGTGAAGGCTTCCTTTCTGTAGCTTGTGGAGTTAATAATCAAATAATACTTGTTTTATGGTTTTTGTAGTCAAATGTAGGTGGTTTGCCTTTGGCACTGAACTAAAGCAAATACATTTGTTTTCCCTTCCATGACAGGTCAATCATCTTGAATAGTCTTTCAGGATTCAATTTTCTGATATGTTAAAATAATCCACAGAAGGAGAGCCCAGAATAATCAGTTGACTGATCTCAGACAAACCCTTGATACCTATTAGGAAGAACTGATGTGAGACGGTCTGGAGAAAGATTAGAGACAATCTTTGTTCTCACAGGCATGAGTCAGTCAGTGGACACTGGAGGCTTATTTAAGAGAGAAAACTCCAATACACTTTACATAGCATCTCTGCTACATGTCAGAATTCCTTCTCTAGCACTTGCATCACATTAGTAAAGAACAATTTTGTGGTCTATTGCAAACATTGGCATAAGAAAAAAAGTACTAATTTCTGCTTTGCATACTCTGAAAAGCTTTAGGTGCACATGCAGTCAATTTGGTTTGCTGAAAATTATTTCAATATCTCAGAATTTCATAGCTTTCTTCCCAGAAAGGGCAGGCTCAGCTCTCAGATGATGAAAGTCCTAGCATACCAGGTCTGTGAAGAAAAACCAAGGCAGAACATGCCCACTCTGCTGCAGAATTCTCTGCAGCTGCCTAAACACGCTCTTCCACAAGGCTTATATGCAGATGGGGTTTTTGTAAAGGCCTCCTGGGGAATGTATCATCGTGTACCCCCTGTCCCCACAACGATACAACCTCGTACAAAAACAATCCCGCCCATAACTCCACCCTCCCATTTTGTCAATCAGTCGACATGAAAGACTGCCATGAGAACCTGTGCTGGTTTTAACTGAGGTAGAATTAATTTTTTTCACAGTGGCTAGAGAGGGTTTGCATTTTGGATTTCTGCCAGAAGCTCTGTTGTTAAAATGGAAATGTTTTTGTTATTGCTGGGCAGTGTTTACATAGAATTCAAGTCCCTTTCTGCTTCTTATATTGCCACTCTCACAAGGAGGCTGGGAGTGTGTGGGAAGTTGTGAGGAGAGACCGTGGGGACAGCTGACCCCAGCTGATCCAAGGGATCATAGTATGCCATCCTTAGTATATAATGTGAGGTGGTGGGAAGAAGAAGAAGGAACAGGGGGATGATTGGAATTATGGAGTTTGTCTTCCCAAGTCACGGTTATGCACGGTGGGGCCCTGCTGTTCTGGGAATGACGGAACACCTCCCTGCCCATGGGAAGTGGAGAATAAATTCCTTTTTTTGTTTTCCTTGTGTGCACGGCTCTTGCTTTACCTATTAAACTCTATCTCAACCCACGAGTTTTTTCCTTCTACTCTTCAAATTTTCTCCCTGGCCCTGCTGGTGGGGGAGTGAGCGACTGTCTATGTGGTGCTTAGTTGATGGCTGGGGTTAAACCATGACAGAACCACAGGCCACATCCTTCCTTTGCCATTGCTGTTTCTGTGTGATAGCCCAGTTACCTCTTAGTGTATCCATTATCTCTGAATTTAAAATTCCGACATTTTTTCTTATAGTCAATATGATTTGTTTTAAATGCAGTTATTTTTCACTTGGTAACACCATGACAATGTTCATGCTGCTGACCTTTCCACTCTTGCTCTCTTCTTGCCCCCCAGAGGCAAAGAGACTTTAAACCCACAATAACTGGTTTGAAATGAGAGTGATTTGCTTACTACAGGCTGGTGGTTTTGTTTGTAGCCTGGTCTTGATTGAGGGCATCCTCTGTGGTCTGTGCTGCACTTGTCACAGCTGCTCTGAAAGGATGAGAACTAGGATGCTGAGCTCTTAAACTTGTATTCCTCTGATTGCCCTTTTACAGGAAGCAGAAGCACAAGCTTCTCCAAGGGCCTATGATTCTTCCTCTGAAAAGGCTTTGTCTGGGTGTTAGAGTGAGCCTTTGTTTTGCAGACTGTCTGAAGAGTGTAGGAACTGATGGTGACAGTTAATAGCCTACTTTTATCTCCCTCCCTTACACATAAATGGTCCAGTCTTCTCACATAAAACGTCAACGCATAATTGCAGTAAACTTTGTTCATATTGCTCTTTAATAGCTTCACTTGAGTCTCTCTGATATGAAAAATAGACTGTAAACCCTATTTACAGGACACGATACTTCAAAGAAAGGTTATTCTACTAGGAAAATCACAAATTCTTTTCTGTTCTTTTCAGATATCACAGAAAACCCCATAATTTCTGATACAGCCTGCTCAGCTGGGAACATTTATCAATGTCCCAGGGAAAGGAACAAAAAACATGAACTAAGCTGAAACATTTAGGATCAAGACATAGGACTACAGAAAACAAGGTATTGAACTAGTCATCTTGGAATGCCCCTAGGTCATTCCCTCTTCTACCACAGGAAACTGGGTGCTTAAGTCACTAATTATGGAAGTGACAAAGGTATTTTTTGGTTTATATTGAATTCTTTTAAAAAATACATTTAGGATTGTATTTGTCTGACACTGCCTAAATAATAACACTAATAGTGGGATATCATTTGCCTGCCTTGCTCTTAGTCTGCGTCTGATCTCAACACTATATATTCAGGGTCTAAACCCATTGTATTAAAATTAATTTAAGATTATTCTATCTTCACCTCCAGTCTACACCTCCGTTAGTGTCCTCACTGTCACTAACAGACTGTCTCTCATATGTGCCCCTGATTTAAAAAGAAGGAAATCACCTGTCTATCAGTTTTGAAGGAGTATATGTGCTAACAGCTTCTCAGGTCATGTTCATTAGGCAATTTCCAAGACATGCCAGCAGAGACCAGTCTTGTCCCACTTTAATGTTCCTCTGTAAACTTCCAAAAGCATGCTGGCCATGAATTCAAATGAGTGAGAGTGAGATAAGGAAGGAAAGACAATTAATTGATTTTTATTTCCTTGTTTTTCATAGGAGGCTTGAGTGCCCTGCTGTGTAAACCTTCAGACAAGGAAAGACAAGAATATGTAAGAAAGAGACATCTGGGGACATATTTTCTAACAGTGGTATCATTTTAGTGGGAGAATTTCACAAGAATGTAGTGATTGCATCACTTACAGCAGTCTTCAGTTCTTTAGAGTTTACAGAAGCAGCAGCTACAAAGAAGCAGGCCCTACTACAGAGGCTCCTGGAGCTTTACAGATTTCTTTTAGAGACCCTAGGAAGATTTTCATAAACAGACAGGGCTTTTGACCACCAGCCCCTAAATTGAAGCAACTACCATTTTTCAGGGCAAGTCTCTGCACTGAGAATATAAAATAGTGAAAGAAGGGATCTGATTAATAATCTGAATAAATATGATTACAAGGAGCAGGATGAGGAAGAAAGTAGCTGTTTCACAAGAAACTTCTTAGAATAGCCGCTTTTTGTGCAGAGCCACTTCAAGCTGATAAAAGAAGTACTGCATAGGAGCAAATTGTACCTTAGAGGTGGAAGAGGGAACTGTGACCACAGAACTTCAAAATAGCAGTGAACATAGAGATCTCTGTGGCTTTCTGCTACTGCCTGGAAATTACACAGCTGTGACCAATCAATAGCCAGCTCATTAAACTGATGTATGTTGAAGGTCACTGATAAATTTGTTATGCCAAGGCCTTAAAACTGCATTTGCCATGCTAAACTAAAAGTGCTCAAGAGTTGAGACAGGGATCCTTCCTTTGATATGTTGCCAGAGTTGAAAAAGTTGTTTTGCCGTGCTTATGAAAAAGGTTTGAGCTAAGACTGTAACATGGTTTTCAGGAACTGGTAGTTTAGTAAAAGAGTATTTTAAAAAAATATCTAAAAGAAAAATCACCCCAAAGTCATCACCATAGTGTTTATATTCCTTCATGATTCTAGCATGAACTATTTTCCTAAAAACTCACAGAGCATTTGAATCAGCAGTAATAATTCCAGATAGCAACAGCGCAAATGTGTTTTGTACTACCTGTGTCAAGATGATCTCTACAAAAACATCAGAGGCTGAAGAGGATAAGGAGCTCAGTATGTCTCTGCTATGTGAGAGACAATGTGTTCCCAGTGCTTCTTCGCTATATGTCTACAGCCTGACATGAATAGTGAGGAGATCATGGACCTGAGGGTTCTCTGAGGAGAAGACAAGTGCTCCCTGGGAGCAAAAAACCATGTGTTATATCTACTGCTGAGCAGCTCCTGAAGTCAGAAGAATGTTGGCTACAAGGGTGTGCAAGGGGTAGTATATGAAGCTGAGACTTTCAGAAATGTTTCTGGAGTACTGGAGTAAATCTATTATGCAACTAGATTTAGCCTCTTCAGACCCTCCTCTGTGTCCAGGGTGAGATTACAATGAGCACGAGTTTCTGTCATGGGTCTGGATTTCCCTCGCCAAGAAGAATTTACTTTCTTTCAGAGCAGAGCCTGGAAGCAAAGTAATATTTCTGTAGCATGCTTGATCAGGAGACTAGGATCCTGGCATGAAATTGAGAGATCCATCCTGGCAATACAAAAGTCTCCTAGCAATGCTGGTGAAATGGAGCATGAGGATCTTTTACAGGACATGCTCACAGCTGGTTCCAGCTCCTTGCTTTCAGCAGCTCTTCCTATCGTCTCTCACTCTTTTTTTTTTTTTTTTTTCTCTATAATCACACAGTGTTTCCCTTCAGCATACCCAGCTTTGCCACATCAATGAGCAGCACAGCACATTTGCTACCTGTATTAGTTAAATGCTTGATATGCAATGAGCGTATGAGACAATTGGGTTTTCAACAATGGTATGCAGATGTCAAAGCCACAGCCTAAAAACAGAAACCTAAAGTACACAAGTGTATAGCCATACTTCCTTAAAAATACCTTTTACTCTTTCATGTGCCATTTCCCTTCCTTTGCAGAAGAGGTAAGTTCCAGGTTATGCAATAAAAACAGGTATGGACAGGCAGTGATAGATGAGCAAAC